TGGGATGTCTTCCGTATAAAAATCAAGATATCAACACTGTTACTCCTGAATGAACTCTTTATCCGCAATACATAATATTTACGTTTTTAATGGTTTATTATAAAAATGTGTAAACTCTTACCTACCACATATTCACCGTTAAAAAAATCTTGCAAATATTATATATTAGTATTTATCAAATGTACCTTGTGAAGATCAATTACGTTAGAATTTTTCCTACAACTTGTGAATCGTCTGACTTATCCATTCTCCTCAGCCTCATGGGCTTATTGCGTTCTTGTCCCATATTTTCCATGACACCCATTGAACAATCTTGGGCCCCGTACTGGTTTGTACAGGTCGCTTGCTATATGTATGTCATCATTCTTCGGAACCTAATTTGGGTCGTTCATGAATTGTTCACCTCCTTCGATCCAATACTTCACATTTGTCTCCATTTTACAGCCCTATTTTGTTCGGGTGCCTTCTCAATGCACAGACCAGTGAGTAACCTTGTAATTGTTCTGAGCCTTTTCCTGCTTTTTCCCTGTCTGTATTCCCAAGTATATTTTCTCAGTGCCACCCACTTCTCAATCTGGTTCCATACCGAAAAGTTTGGTACCTCCACCGTTAATTCATGGTCTATATGGTCCGTATCTGGCATACTGATCAGCTCTTTCGTCGCCTGTGATATCTGAATGCCTTGGTATCCAATCCANTGCTCATTGACTAATATCAACGGAATGCAACGGAAACAATTATCCTTTAATGAGTCATATATCATAGCTGAAGTTGGATATCATTAGAACAACTATCGATCATTCATGATATTGTAGTGTAGCATGAATGATAAAAGTTTTAATCCATGCACGTCAATTCTAGAAGACTCCAGAATTGATAACGGACGGTTTAAAAAATCCATGGACCAGAATATCCTTTGACCATATATCCTCTGAGTATATAAAGCTATGTGATAGCTAGGCGGTTCGACGTGGGTGCTTTGTTCACTCACTCGAATTGACTGCCGTGTTGGTCGGTGGTTCAAGCTCTAGTCTGCGACAGCTGGTTAACGGAAAAACAGATTTTTTTTAACAAATGTTATTGAGCATAGTTTCGATACTGAAATCAGTTGAAACTATAACTTTATCGTCATGAAATTCTTCTTTGGCAGCAATGCCATCTCTTTGTAAAACAAAATGTAGGGTATCTTCAGAGGCTCCAATAAATTCATTTCTTAAAAATAAACGAAGAATATGTGTCATTCATTCAACTTCTGGAATGAAGTGAATCTTTTTTATATATAATGAAAATCAAGTCGGGAATTTTTATTAACGTAAATTACTTCGGTTACTGAACTCAACGCAATAATTAACACTGAGCAAATAATACAGAAGTATGCACATATTTCTACTAGAAAAACGTAGGTGGCTTTGCATTTCATTGGTCGCATTCGCAGAATAACAGACAAAAGTCTTTAAGTCAATTTCAAAAATGCATACAATTGGCAAAGGGTAGAAAACGATAATAAATAATGAAGGTAATATAAAACTGGAATTGAATTCTGTATTGTTCTGGCAACTACCTCATTGAACTATTGAAAAGTACTCTGTATATTGTATATCAATATTGTATTCAACATTATCCCATCAGTAGTTCATTGTGATATCCAATCGACAGTATTCTCTGGATAATTGCTGTTACGAGTCATAACGCGAACTCAACAAAAGGTATATCAAATCAAATCAAATCAGTTTATTTTCAGAGACTCCACAGCATGGAAAAAGTCAGTTATACTAAAATATTTAAATTCACAATACAAAGAAATATATATAAACACATAAAAGAGTAGTGATATGAAAATATCAAACAGAAGTATGAAAAAATATGAACAGTTGAGTTTGAACACTAATACTATTCAATATGGAAGTTGAGAATATAGATAAATAATAATATAAAATTGAAAATATGACAATTGGAAATGGGACAATCGAAACTGTTGCAATCAAGTGTACTTCCAAATCAGCCTGGAAGTATTCATTGAGGAAATAAAATCAGTTTTTTATTATTTTTTTTGAAGGAATGCAGGTTTGATAGCTGTTTGCTGATTTCATCAATTTATGGTGGGGAACAATAAAAGTATAATTGGATCTTAACGTATATTCTGTGGCGAGCCGAAAATTATCTCTTGATTGAAATTTGTCGAAATGAGTTTTGACATAAACAACACAGTTGAATATATATAGTGAAATAATGGTTAAAATATCCACATCGGTGAACAGATTATTCCATGAAAAGTAAAAGTTCATGAATCTATTTTACAATCCACTGTGAGCATAATGGAAAGAGCATAATGAAAAGAGAATATATTCTAATTTTCCCAGGTATTTTCTTTATACCCTCACAGTCAATCCTGTGGACCTCACATTCTAACTTCAACTGGATGGTGCACTCTATTACTGCACACAAATCTCTGTAACTGCACCCGAGTTTGTTAAAAAGAATGTCTTCAGATCGGTGGATAGGTAGAAGAGAAATATTGGCATTGTCCACCAGATCACCTGAGCTTAGCCCACTATACCTGGCAAGAAATGCGAAATATAACTGCAAAATATCAGAGACGAATTCGATGCCCTAGTGAGTCATTGTCTGGTGGTTAATGAAGAACGGTTTCTATGAATTTTCTTCCATTTGCTTTTTTTGAGGGCAAAACATAAGCACTACAGAAAAATCCTTAAGGCGCTCTAAGAGCGATGCCAATGCGAAAGTAGTGATTCACATTGGATTTAAATCGCTTGGAGATTGAATCCATATGAAAAAACGTTCCCAGGAAGTTTATTTCACATAAACGCAGTTCTTGAAGAGTGAAGTTCGAGGTGTACTGAGTTGAAACTCATAACAATGAGAAGCCATAGTTCGTTGCGTATTTCTGAACGCTTGCCATGGAAGAAAAGAGAAAAATCTCCAACCTTTCTTCGATATTCCAGAATATCAAGGCTGCAAGTGATGTTCGCGTCTCCAATCAGGCGTATGGCTCTTCTCTGAATGGAATCCAGCAGCTTCAGGGTATGCTTAGGGACGGAGCTCCATACATGAGAACAATACTTCAAAGAAGGTCTTATCTGAGATTTATGAAACATCAAAAGTTGCTGAGGTGTATACAGTTTTCTGGTTCGAAACAGTGTTTCAAGCTTTTGAGGAGCAGCTTTTGCAATTCCAGCGACATGATTGTGCCAAGACATACTGACCAAGACATAAAAACATAAAAAATAAGTAATTCTTATGGAATTCTCAATTAATACTACTTCAATTAGACTATGCGAAGACCAAAGTGAAGCGTGATACAAAAATCTACCTCTACATCGTGACGGAACTTTTTAATATTCCCCTACTTGTGTATGAAAGTGAAAACTCGATTTTATCATTCGTATTGAAGAATCGATACATCGCAATCCAAGATTGGAAATACATAAACTAGTTGTTTATTTGAGAATTATCAACTTATTTGCACTTGATTGGCATTCTCTTCAGAATGGTGTATATTAATCACCAATGGACACATTCAATCGTGTTCAATAATTGTTCAATTACTTATATCTGTCCAAATAAATATTATTATTTTTATACATTCGAGCGGCCGCACCAGCATCATTAATCATTGACCACTTCCCACATCTTGAGGTAAGTGATCATTGGTTCCGATAATCATGTACTCTTAGCAGCAGTAATAAGCCGTAATAAGCATCTATATTGATCTTAGCAAAATCTTACATTTATAAGTTTTTATTATGTAGTTTTTAGAGGTCGTTACGTTTCAAATACAATTTCCAAATGTTTGATTTCAATAGTTACTAATAAAACGGATGATCGGAATCTTCATTAGAGGAATTCGAAGCAAATTATGTTGTACTCACCAATAGAAACTCGTGAAAAGTTTAAGAGAAAACTAAAGCTAGAGCATGAATATAAGTGTCAACCAAGTATTAAGGGGTCTCATCTGGACCGATTGACAATTTCTATAGTAGTAAAAATGTCAAAAGTATTATCCTTCCATAACAATTTCGTGAGTGCAAATATCAACACAACAAATGAAGATCATATGTAGATTTTCATCAACTGCAATGTGCTAAATTGACGATTTCTTCAAAATTTCCAGTAAAAAAATCATATTGTATTCACCACCTGGAAGTCACAAAGTGGGTAAGAAAAAGCAAAAGATAGGCAGCAGACACGACAATAATCATCGATCAAGTATAAAGAAATTTCATCTGGAACGTATGACAATGGTGGTGAAAGCGATAAATCTATTATTTCTTTTATATGAATTTCATAAGTGCAATCATCAATAGTACAAATGGAGTTGAATTGTGGAATTTGATTGATTCCACACTGTTGGCCATACTGTTCTGAATCGACTATTTTATTTGAATTCTCGCTGAACGAATTATATTATACCCACCACCAGAAAGTCGAGAAATGGATGAAATGGAGCAAAAGATTGACGGCAGGCAAGACAATAGTTATCAACTGAGTATAAATGGATCTCAGCTGGAACGTTGACACTTTTTATGGTGGTGAAATTGCTAAATCTATTATTTTCTATATCAATTTTCGTGAGTGCAGACATCAACAGTACTAATGAAGTTGAATGATAATACTGTTAAAAATTGACTCTACCGCACTAAATTGACGATTTCATCAGAGTTTTCACTGAAGAAATTATATTGTTCCCACCACCAGGAAGTCGTGAAATGGATGAAGCGGAGCAAAAGATGGACGGCAGGCAAGACAATAGTAATCAATCGATTATAAATGAATCTCAGCTGACAGGTTGACACTTTTTATAGTGGTGAAAGTGCTAAACCTATTATTTTTTTACATCAATTTTCGTGAGTGCAAACATCAACAGTACAAATGAAGTTGAAAAGAGGAATTTGAATGATAATACTGTTAAAAATTAACTCTACCGCACTAAATTGACGATTTCATCAGAATTTTCACTAAAGAAATTATATTGTACTCACCACCAGGAAGTCGTGAAAGGGGTGAGAAGAAGCAAAAGGTAGACGGCGGGCACGAAAAGCACGGCGTGCATAATCGCGCGCTCACACACTCACTTAGGTGAGCCCCATGACTGCCCGTGGTTTTCGAGACGGAGACCGCACCGGGACTTACCTGATGCAGCGTGCTTGCAGATAGATAATCGCATGCGCGAAGGTCCTCGTGATGAGAGCTTTTTGTCCTGCGAGGACGAGCGGCCGACGGCAAGCCTCAGCTTCGGCGATGGTGTCCAAGAGTCGGATGGGACAGTGGACCGTCTCCGTGCAGATGGTCACTCGAAGTGTGTGATTCTTTCAGTCGTTTTGTGCTTTACCGGAAAATAGAAGGACTGTTCCAGTAGAGCGATTCCGCTTATTGCCGATAGATTGCGCTAGTTTCCAACAAGCTGTGACATACAAATTTGACTCACATAAATTCTCAGTCTCCATGATAAAAACAATTATCACACTGAGTTTACTACAAAGGCGTTTCGCTACTCAGAAGCTTCCTCAGTCCAACTTATACATAGAACGTTCTGGAAGGCATTTTATACAAACAATAGTTACAGAACTCAATTGATTAATGAGGTTTGTTCCAACCACGGTTTTTGTATCATTCCGAAACCATACACTGCATCGATAAATAAACTTGTTGAGCGCATGTGCGTACTGTGTACTGCAATTTTATGTAAGAATTTTTAAACCTGGGTTGAAACGGTTTGGGTATAGTTGAAGTAAACGATATTGTTCATACTTGAAGTTGTCGGCACTTTCAAATGCCAAAAGAACCAATACATAGAAATGAAGCCGCTGCCAACTAATCCACGTGGACTGAAGAATTGGCGGTTCGTATTGGATGAGTTTTACTAACCGAGTTTTATGATTGGCTGAAAAGTCATAAAATTAAATTTGAAGTCATATTACGGTGACGAATAGAATGTGGGGATGGTTATAGCCTTCGGGCCGTCAATGTTCAGTTCAGGAACTGATCGCGATTTGAGTGTTGAAATTCGATATCGGTTCAGTTATAGTTACTTAAAATTTTTGTTATCTGTTTGAAATGTGGTGCCCTTGGACAAGTACTAATAGTAATAACGAGAGTTCTAACAACGCAGACTTTTTCCAGTGTAATGATTCCAGTAGCGATGGTGAACAATGCGAAAAAAATATACCACTGAATAAGATTCGGATGCATTTGAATATTGAAACACCGAAAGTATGATTCAATGCATATAATAGTCTACATCTCAAGATTAGTTTCGAGGAAAACAAACTGTTACAAGCAACATCAGATTTGACCAAAATTCCTTTCTCAACTGTAGGTGAAATGGTCAAAAACAAACCTTATGAACACAAGACGCGATGTGATACAGGATTACCAAAACCTTCAGATGTTCATCTAATGAAATCATTGAAAAAAACAATATACGACTGTTACAAAAGCAATGAGATTCCTACAACTGAAATCATAAGGAAGAAATTGAATACTTCCGGCCATAACGTGATCTGCCGTGACAAAACTCTTCAGAATCGGTTGAAGAAACTAGGATTTGGATTCAAAATAATAAACAAACAGTCAAGCTGTTATGGAAAGCAGAAGAATATTGAAATTGCGTAACAAATACTTAAAACAAATAACTAAATATAATAAAAATTCGAGGAAAGTTGAAATACAAAGTTTGTTAATGGACAACAATTTGTATTTTGAAGATTGCTATACCAAAAACCAACTACAGACAAAAACATTTGAAGAAGTGTATGCTCTTAAGAGTATTGGACACACCATACTGAAAATTACCCCCTATTTTTGTTTTCAATCCCATCGAGTTGATTTGTGGATAATTGAAACAATGCATCAAGCGTAAAAATAATTTTTAAAAATTTGATAAGAAAGTAATAGCGCTAATTGAAGAAGGAATATTTAATATTACCGAAGACGGCTGGTAGAAAAGTTTTAAGAAAGTTATTTTAGTTGAAAAAGACTATACGGAGGAACGAGAATTGAAACTTTCTATGTTTTTTACCACTTCTCTTTGTAACTAACGTTACTGCAGTTTCGTCCTATAAAGACATTTTCAAAGTTATACATGAGATTAATGTAAAACACGCATTCTGAACTTTCTGTATTCCTGATGACGTAATTTGACCGAGATAAGGGCCATAGATGCATAAAATGACTTTCACGTTTCAACTTAGAAAAAGTCTGTCCGAATAAAGCTTTTTCAACAATCCATAAGCTTCACGAATTAGTGAGTTGACATGTAATTTAAAGCATAATTTTTAGTCAATATTAAGTCCCAAACATTTAATTTCATCGCTATCTGTCTATCTGTCTGTCTTCATAATTTCCGAATATAATACAATTTGATTTGTTGAGACTTATATTCAAACAATGATTTCTGGAAATATTCACCACGTTTCTCATATATTTGTTCAAAGAATGCTCTTGTGCCAACCAATTTTCTAATTCACCTGAGAAATACCGTTACTACTAGCAGTTAATTTCAAAAATTTCAAACGGTGTTTTTCTTCTCATGCAAAAAGGTGTTTTCAAAGAATTTTTCGAGATCAGTGTTTGCACATTTTGCAACTAAAAACCTAGACATTATTGAAAAAGTGATTTCATCTCAACGTAGTTCAACAAACAGATAATTCAATTTATAGATCACAGTTATAAGTGTCAGGATGATAATTAACATTTTCAATAATTTGCACCTTTTCCAATAGTGTTTATAGTGGAATGGAAGTTCCTATTGACGTTTCAATTAATTTCCAGTCACATACTGCTTGCCAGTCCCAACGAGTCTGGATTCCAGCTAAAGTTACCGACCAGAAGGCAGGAAAAAATTCCAGAAATCGACGGCCTTCAAACCCGAAAAAATATGACACTGAAAACCTCGGCCGCGAGAGCCTTAACCATTTTGTCAGGTTGATTATTATCGATACTCCAAATAACGGCCGATGCCTATTTGTCGGTGAGTATACATGACTCCGGACCACTAATAGGTACAATGAAATAACCATAAAAATCATGACTCGAGTATTTAGCGATCAATTAAAAAAAGTCAATATTTATCGTGAAGTTGAAGACATAAGTAAAATGTTTTATTCAAAATTTTTAAAAATTATCTGAAGCCAAAAAAGTGCTTCTATTATTAAATTTTTTGATTTATAAATATGCGCTAAGATATGAAACTCATAGCTACCAGCGTCAGAAGTGTTTATGTATCATTGAAAAACCTTTAAAACTCCATCTAAAATTCAGATGAAGTTCAATCAGTTTAGATTTCAAACCCTACTACTAAGTTGCGTACTCACTGAGATGTCTAGCCGCCATCTTTGTGACGCCACAGCTACTAACTCCACGGATTGAGGCCACAACTTTATTTTTTTTACTCAGAAAATCTCCTTGTAGGTATGGTTCTTCACAGTATGATACTACACAGTTCAAGAGATATTTAAAATGAACCTTCATACTAGTGCTTGAAATAATTGTTATACAATTAATATTGACTTATTAACACATGCCTGAACAGCGATCAGCTGATTGAAGTTCTGGAACAATTCCAATTATTATAAACACAATATCGTTTCGAAATTTTTATATTTTCACTGATAATTTTAATTTTGAAATCCATTTGAGGACTAAAAACTATCTTGTATTGTTAGTACGCTACACCGTACTGAACAACATTCAGAGTATCAACTATTTTGTTGGAAATCATTAAATTCAAAGAATTAGAATTCAACTTTCAATTTTTTTCCTCAATTTCCGGCTTTCCGAAGTCTGCAGGAGAATAACTTCGGCAGCTCACCACATCTCATAAACATATAAAACCAGTTGCTTACAGTACAGTCACATCAAATTGTTGGTAAAACAAATTATTTTATATTTTTAACTAAATTGAAATTTCTGTAAAGCATGAACCATCTTTAAAATCTCAAAATCCGTATTATTTGCTCATATTCTACATGGAACTGGATGAGATAACATCACTGAACAATGAGAATGGGACTGACCTCAATTTCGAACCTAAGACTTCATTTGGTACCAGTTTTGTTTGACTTTTTTTTTAATGGAAAATAAGTATGGGAAATTTAGTTTGCATTATGAACTTACCCTAATAGATTTTATTGTCTATATATTTGTTAATGGCTATTCGATAATAATACTGAAATTAACAGAAAGTTTTTTTAATGATTTATCACATAATGATCTGATTAACGAATTTGTCATTTTCTCATGCAATTTCAATTCAACCGCAAAATATTTTCTCACGAATTTAGTATGTGAACACCCAATATAAAATGTTCTAGAAATTCCGCATTCTCCACTCATTTCGCCTCCATTTTAAAAATTTCAACGAAAATCACCATGACCATAACGAAATGCAGCAACCGAATAGGCTGGTGTAATTATCCACCCTGGGAATTAAAATATTCAATTAAGTGTAAAGCAAAACAAATTGGCCATAATAGCCGTTTAAAATATTTGGGTGTCGAACAATTCCGGGTTTTTGCAGGCATTGCTCGATCTCAAAACGAGCTATATGTGGTTTCTTTCCCAAGCTCTACCAAAAAGAAACGCTTGAGAACAGCTTAAGTATTCAGTGATTGTATTCAGTAACGGAGGCGTAGATTTTTCAATGGGACACATTCAGTACATATACGCTTTATCCGACTCAATCAAATGCATTTTTAACAAAATTTTCATACAAGTTCAAGAGTATTTTCAGTCCTAATTTTGAAGTCAGTACTGATTCCGAGTACTATAATCGGTTTGTTTGAAGGTGATTCACAATGTTTCATGATGAATTTCACTAGTTCGGACTTCCATTGTCTAATATATAAAATGATTTGAAATCCCTGAAACAACTATAAAAAGAAGAATTGAAAATGAACAGCTGAAAATAACAATTATATTAACCAAAATAAACCTGAAATGAAATAATAGGGAAATAAAATACAAGTGAAAATAGAAAAATTGAATAAATAAAAATAAAGAAATGAAAAATGAAAATAAAAATAAAAAGTGGAGTGATTCCAAGTCACGTTAGTTCACGACGTTTCGATTGTTAGTATCTACAATCGTCTTCGGGTGATGACTGGACTGATTCCTCCGAGAGATGACTATTTATAGG